TTACAATCAGAGTCCTTCATACCTCTCTTAAACTAAAATACATCCTTCAATCATGACTTGGCCAGAGTTAGCACCACCTCCGATCTCACCATTACAAATTTATCGTATCCTTTCACCCAAAGCAGGTTTAAGAGTTTCACCATTATGTTTAGGTGCGATGTCAATTGGTAAAGCATGGGCCGAACATGGTTTAGGATCGATGAATGAAATCGAAAGTTATAAATTATTAGATGAATTCTTTAAATTAGGTGGGAATTTTATTGATACGGCTAATGGATATCAAGATGAAGAGAGTGAAAGATGGATTGGATCTTGGATGAAGGTTAGAATGATTTTCTTTCTTTCTTTCTTTCCTTTTTTCTTTGTGGGTGGGGAAGGGGGTTCATGAGTCAGTTTTCTAAAGATTTAGACCTTTGCTTTTCTTTTCTTTTTCTTTTTCGGGAACAGGAACGTAAGAATCGTGATCAAATAGTGATCGCTACTAAATTTACTTCATTCTATCGTGGAAATGATCCAGCAACCAAGATACGAGTCAATGTGAGTGACTTTCAAAACCTTTAAAAATCTCTCTACATCTCATTCACCATTTGATTTTTTGGTCTGGATGAATAAGTATGGAGGTAATGCGACTAAATCTTTAAGACTTTCAGTTGAAGATTCATTAAAGAAATTACAAACGAATTATATCGATCTTCTTTATCTTCATTGGTGGGATTGGACCACTTCGATTGAAGAAGTGATGCAATCTTTAAATAATTTAGTCAAAGAAGGAAAAGTAAGTAGGCTCTCTGTTTTGTTTTTTTGATGATGATGATCATCTATCTTACTTCGATAGTCATGGATGATTTGTTTTTTTCTTTCGGTTCTTTGGTCTTTAGGTTCTTTACTTGGGTATCTCTGATACTCCTGCTTGGATCGTTTCAAAAGCCAATCAATGTTGGTCATCTTCCTTTCTGATTTGAAAAACTCTGTTTTAAACACTGATTCTCGCTCGTTTCCTTTCTTTCGAGATCGTCTTAGATGCTCGAGATCATGGACTTGCACAATTTGTTGTTTATCAAGGTTTATGGAGCGCAATGTTTCGAGACTTTGAACGTGAAATCATTCGTAAGCAATCAAACCAAAACCATTAGATTTTATATGTTCCCTCAAACTGATCAACACCATCATTATCCCTCCATGGAATCTCCAATGATATCATAGCTATGTGTATCTCAGAAGGAATGGCTTTATGTCCATGGGGAGCGTTAGGATCAGGCAAATTCCAATCTAAAGCAGACTTAGAAAAACGTTTAGCAAACGGAGAGAATCTAAGATCGATCACCGGTCCAAGTCAACAAACTGAATTAGAAAGAAAGATTTCAGAATGTTTAGAAAAGATTGGAAAGGAAATCGGAACAGATTCAGTCACTGCTGTTGCATTAGCTTATGTATTACAAAAAGTTCCTTATGGTTAGTCACACCTATGGACGTTCTTGAACAAAGTTTTTTGAAGAACTTGATGAGAAAAGTGATCTAAACTTGATTTACTTTATCTTCTTTTTTTTTGGCTTTGTAGTTTTTCCTATCATTGGAGGTAGAAAAATCGAACATTTACATAGTAATATTACTGCTTTAACACTTCGTCTTACAGAAGATCATATCAAGGAAATCGAAAACCAAACTTCTGATTTCAAATTAGGATTTCCATATGATCAAGTGAGCATTGATCTCATTTTTACAAATCTGAACTGATCTTAAATGATTCTAAACCTGAATTTTTTTGGGTCTTTCTGAATAGTTCGGTGGGGATGCGGCTTTGGGTGGTGTCACTCCTTGGCACTTTGATGTGGTTGGAAAATTTGAATTTGTCAAACATCCTCAGGTAAGAATTTCATACCAAGAGTTTTTATAAAAACAAATTGAACTTGATGAAACCTTTTTCAAAAATGTTTGATCATTTATAGGCTATCAAACCATCGGAGGAAGTCTTGAAAGGCGATGAATAAGGAGTTTCTTGGATAGCTTTCCAGTTGAAGATATTTATCTATACACGTTGATTCTTATGAATTTTGAATTAGTTTGATAGTTTGATTGTTATAGGATTGCTTTTGATGATCCAAGTTCCTTATTGATAGTGTTCTTGAAAAAGAATGTATGTTATCCTATATGTACCAAGTTTATATGCTTGAAAAGCCAAACTGCTAAAAAATCACTCACGATGAAAGTCGTAGACACTGAGGTACTTTACATCATGTATGATACGAAAAATTAAAGAGCTTTCTTGGACAAATGTAAGTGTTCAAGATGTGATGGATTTTATAGTGTTAGCTTGACGTTGCATCAGAATTTGCTTCAAGAACTATTGATTGCATCTGGTGATTTGCTCAGCGCGGTTTTTACTTCTCGTGGTTGGTACCAGTCCTCTTCATAAGCTTCAAAATTTCGGTACATACTGGTGAGTAGGTACCCTAAATCGACAACTTTTCCTGCAAACCCACACCAATGTGGATGTCTTTATAACTCTCAACTCAGAATATCGGGTGCACATACATCCAGATACCTGGAAGTGTTAGGTGGATATCTGCCTCACCATCATGACTTCACAAGGAGAACTGGAGCAAGAAGTAAAGTTACAATCTCAAGGCAAATAAATAGATATGATAGAGGTCGAACCTTATATAAAAGTTTAGTATATCCTCTCGCTTCATTGGTGGGTTTATTTGCGGGACTATGTATATGTATAGCAGGCAAGTGATAGGCACACAAAAGGCGCATACAAGGAAGACAGGACGAGAGGGGAAAGATAAATGATTTATGAGATACCACAATAAAAAGAGCTTGAGGGGCGAGAGAAGTGACAAAACAGCACAAACAAAATTGCCTTGCTTAGGATTTTCATTCATTCAGGAAGACAGCTCACGATAACAAGGACTTTTTTCTTTTTCTTTGGTAAGTAGTGATGAGGCTATGTGTTAGCCATGTGGCAATAAGATTTTGTTTCAAGGAAGATATCAGAGCAAACAGTAAGTGATGATTTTTTCATTGGCTATCTTCTTCTTGGACCGTTCCAACTCGTCGCTCCTTTTCGCTCTCTAACAAATGGGACGAACAATCAGGCTTTGACTTCGACGGAAATTGAGCAGTAGGCGGGAAGATCAACAATTACCTAGCTGATTGTAAAGCAAGAAGAGAGCCTTTTCATTGGCTTCAGATGATCCGGTAATTGTAAACATGCGTTCACCCGTGTCATCGTGAGGAGTTTTGGCAATGGAGATCCGGGAGCCTGACATTCGACGGATTTCGTTGATCTTGGCTCCACCTTTGCCAATGATACACTGTGGTGAAAGACGTGAGAGATGTCAGTTATAGGTATGAATGTTTCGATTGGAAACGTCACTTACGCCGACCATATCAGCTGGGATCGAGATGTTCTGGGTACGTAGGAGGCGATCAGCAACAGGAGCAGGAGCAGATGCAAGTGAGTTTTCTCTTGAGCGATGTCCGTTCTCATTGCCGTTCGAATGATAGGTTCCGTTGTGGGTGCGTCGTCCAGTAACGTCTCCAGCCATGTGACCACCACTCGGTACACCGCTCCCAGCGCGACGACCACCACCATTACCATAGCCTTGGCCGCCAACCCCAAAACCACCAGCAAGAACGCCGCCGGGATAAGCTGCTGTGACGCCATCAGGGCCAAGTGCGCCAGGTTGATATAAGACGGTTCCGTGAGCTCTCTCCCAATCCTCCATCAAACATTTTCCAATCTCATAGATCGCAACTCGGATGGCTTCCGGACTGCCTTGGACCTCTACAACTCGCTCGGTAGATTGAGGTAACATTTCCTTACTGGCTACCATCCTGACACCGGAAGTATCTTGGATTTCTTTGATCTTGGAGCCCTGTCGTCCAATGATAGATCCCATGAGATTATGAGATACCAAGACTCGGATCGCCGTCGTCGTGGCAGTTGGAGGTGGCACGGTGAGTGAGGGATCGGTGGCGGCCAATGGGTTTTGTAAGATTGCATCGGCTACAATCGAATAAGCCTGATGAAGAGTTGCGAAATGAGTATGATTGATGATTCAACAAGGAATATAGAAATGAGAAACTCACTTTGCTGACACCTTCAAGGCCACCACTGACGCTGAGGACTCGATCATGAACGCCTTGGACAGCCTTACTGACGCCAGCTTTGGTTCCAGTCTGTTCACGGATCTCAGCGACCGTCTTGCCACCCTTTCCGATGATCACACCCGCTGGAAGAGCCGATGAGAAGATATGAAGTAATAAGTCAGCGAAACATTCAAGTAAGTGTATGAGAATGGCTGAAATGTACCTTCTTTGGTAGAGACGAGGGATCGTAAAGTGACGTTAGAGGTAGGATCAGCGCCGGCACCGGTAGAATTGATCGGAAGACCATTGCTACGAATGGTTTTGTCGGGTGGATTGGAGAGAGTGGGAGATGCTACGGTAGCCATTTTCCCAGGTGAGGAATAGAGAAGAGAGAGAGAGGAGGGAGAGAGAGAGAGGAGAGTTATGAAAGGGTAAACGGATGGCAAATGGTTGAAGAAGAGGGAAGAACAAGTCGTGAGGGAGACGAGGAGGATGAGAAGGAGATGAGAGGGAGAGGGGGAGAGCGAGAAGGATGAAGGTAAGAATCAAAAAAAAGGGAAACCAATTGAGGAGAGAAGAGGTCAAAGAATCGAATTTGAAAGGGGGGATCGGGTGGGTTTAAATAAGATCAAAATGGTAAAGAGACAAACCTACCGATCACACATGGTCAACAACCAAGTTAAACTTCATGATCCTTTCTCTGCACAGTCACGCAGCAATCTCAACTCTTTCAAAATTCTCACTTTCAATTCATCATCTGACACTTCATCATCATCATCATCAAGATGTCTTGTTTCTTTATTCTCGAGTAAAAATACTCATTACCATCAAAACCATTTGTTTGTATCGCTACAAAATGAGTATTGTTCGTGGACAGGCCAAAAAAGGTGCTGACCAAAAACACAGGGTCTGGCCGGGAATTGAACCCGGGACCTCACCCAGATTGGTTTCCTCCCCGAGAGGAAGGCAAACCCTAAGGGTGAATCATACTACTAGACCACCAAACCGATGACGGAAGTTTCTGTATTACGAATTTGTATGTGTACTTTTACGTTGAACGTCAAGCCCGCCAGAGCCCATCCACAAATCTCAAAGCCCCAGCTTACTGTCCTATATAAACCACGACTCACGGCGCACCAGGTTCAAAGATTTTAAAAAACGCTCGAAAGGATCTTGAATTATGGTGACTAGGTTATCAGCTTTTCAATCAAACCCAGCTAGTTTCATTGATCACACCATCTTGAAGCCAAATGCTATTGAAGGTCAGTTTGAGAGACTGGTCCTTTAATTTCATAATTCATGAAAACTTATCAATCTTTTGAATTTTTTTGTTTGTTGAATATCTAGATGAAATTATTCAATTATGTCAAGAAGCCAAAAAATATCAATTTAAATCAGTTTGTGTGAATCCGTTTTGGGTAAAGAAATGTGTGAATTTATTAAAAGGTACAAACGTATTGGTTTGTACAGTGATTGGATTTCCTCTAGGTGCGAATTCGATCAAGGTCAAAGTGCGAGTGATTGATATTGATTGATGATTGAACAAAAAAAAAGGAAATCTTCGAGGAGGAACAGCTAATCTTCTGATCCTATCTCTTGACTGAATTTTGAAAGGCTTACGAAACTAAGACGGCTTTAGAAGATGGAGCAGGTGAGATTGATATGGTGATGAATGTAGGCAAATATCTTAGTGATCCGTCAAAGGCATCAGAGACCCTCGAAGAAGACGTGGGATCAGTGGTTAATGAGCTCAAAGCAAGTTCTGTTCCATTGAAGGTCATCATCGAAACTAGCTTATTACAACCTCAACAGATTCAGCAAGTCTCTCAAATCTTGGGCGCGATCAAGGGTGTAAGCTTTGTTAAAACCTCAACAGGTTTTACAGGTCTAGGAGCTCAACCTGAACATCTTCAATTGATGAGAGAAAGTTTACCAGAAGCTATAGGGGTCAAAGCGAGTGGAGGGATCAAAACTTTGAAAGATTGTATCAAGATGATTGAAGCTGGAGCAAATCGCATTGGAACCTCATCAGGAGTCAAGATCATGGAGGAATTCCACAAGAATGAAAGTTGATATCCCCTTTTTCATGTTCTGAAGTTTTTAACCCTGTAGGACTCTGTTTTGAAGTCCAATCCTCTATGAAGATGGATAGATCACATGTCTTCTTGTGATTAAATTAAAGCTATTGGAGATTGTTTTCCATAGATTGATACAAACTTGACGTCTCTCAGAGACACATAAGATAAGGAAATCATTAGCTTAGGCCATGTTTATCTGTAAGCAGGAACCTTGATTCTGACAATCAGGGTATACCTTGAATCAGAGCCTCAGGCACTACCTTACAATTTCCTCTTCGTATTCTCTTTTTCTCTCGCTGAACTTGGATTGACTTTCAACCTTTTCAGACCGGTACATAACCTCCTGCAGCCTTTAGCAGTTCCTCTGGATATTGTTTCTGAATGGTAAGATAATTTTTGATGTCTTCAGATCTTGCTGGACAAATATCACTGTATACTGAATGATTTGTTTCTACAGCTGAGTCTGAGCTTGATGAGCCATTCTTTTTGATACACACATAGCACTGCTCCCTCCCGAGTAGCGGTTTAGGTTTTGTGCACCTGTGACTCCAATGAGGTTCACCACACCCAGCACAAAGTGGTTGGCTTTCATAGCACCATGCATAATGATGGCCCATCTGTAGACATTTTTCACATTGCTCTGGGTATTTGTAATATCTGTAGCCATAAACTCTTCTTCCAAGAATTTTAATGCCCTCTGTCTGTACCCAGTCAGCAAAATGTTTACTACAAGTGCTTAAGACCATCGATTTTCCACTTGAAGCTGTTTTGTAGCGAAGTCCATCAATCTCTCCTGGTTTGATTTGGTTTTCATAACCAATTTGATGGATCAGATAATGAGTGTTGGTTTTTGGACCTAAGTGTAGGTTTGGTAAAATGATGTTGTATACATAAGGTTTTGAAGTATAATGTTTGTCTACCATTGGTCCCCAAATGTCCATATGTTTCCATAGCCAATTTGCTGCCAAGATAGAGTTTGCTTGAACCTTTATAGATCCTGGTCTGATATTCACAATATCACAGACACTTATTGGCTCATTTTCAATTGATGCATTTAATTTCCTCAAAGCTTGGTTGATTTTTGAAAGGGCCTCTGGGTGATGTAGAGTCTTGAACCTTGGTCTACCTTTACGGTTGAAGATATAGAAAGCTTTGTTTGTGATTACCCTTGGATCTGAATTATGCTGGGATGTGGTGTCTTGGTTATTTGAAATACCAACATAATCAAGGTCAAGCTTCATTGGAAATATGAGTGGTTTCAATCAGATTATAAGAAACCTTCAAGATATAAAAGCAAAGATTAAAACTCACTTTGAGGTATCCATCATTTTCCTTGTAGTCAAGAAAGCTCTCTAGATGGCTGTGTTTAGGACTTTGGGGATGAAATCCCCAGTAGTATCTGGTACAGGTACCTGTGATTTTTGACTTTCTTTCCCAGCTATTTATTTCTTTGATTAGGATATTGAGGATCAAAGAGAGAAATAAAATCCATGAACAAGACATCTTTGTATATTGTTGAGTGAAAATTTTATGGATAGAAACATATCAGGAACCTTTTCATCTTACCTTAATCTCAGATGGATGCACAAAGGTTTTGTGACATGATTTACTCTTGAAAACTCCCTTAAACAGACTCAAGAATAGATGATGCATGTTATACAAAGTAGAACACATTCTACCCAAACACTACGGGTTAAACATACTACATTTCACACATACTACGGGTTACACACTACGGCTTAATTGCACTACGGGTTACATACACACCTTACCCTACATTGCTCCTTCAATCACCTGCAATTTCCTATCACCCACCTTGTACAAACCATTAATATTCTCATCTAAAAACACAACTTTCTCTTTATTCTCATACTCCACTCTATCATCTCTACCTAATATCTTACTACATCATAATATTTCACTTAACTTACTAAAACCTACATCTTCCACCACTTACTAACCTACCGGTTTCATACCACGGGCTACACGTACTACGGGTTACTTCCTACGTGTTGCGCACACTACTGAAATCTCTCTGTTTCCTTGGGCCCCGCCTGTCCTTGCGCCCTGCGTTGCATTCCACCGTGTGCTTTGTTCAGCCCTACTTTGTTTCCCTACATCGTAATACTCCACTCAACTTACTAACCCCTACATCATAATATTCAAATCAACTTACTAACCCCTACATCATAATATTTCACTCAACTCACTAACCGCTACATCATAATATTTTTCTCAACTTACCAACCCACATTTGCCGCCCACTACCCTAACGTCTACGGGCCACGGGCCCTTTGGCCCTCTGTTTCCTCTTGATGTACCTCACTTTGGCCTTGCCCTTCTTGGGGCCCACCGTACCCTTCACCCCCAATTTTCCTTGGGCCCTGTGTGACTTTGCGTCTTGCCAATTACTTGGGTTTATCTTCACTTGCGCTACACACACTGCCATTACTCCAACCGCCGGGTTATACCTCCTACGTGTTACGCACACGGCTGCATCACCTGTGTGTTACTGGGCCCCGTGTGTCCTTGGGCCCTACGTTGTCTTCTGTCCTCCTTTGTCCTTAACTGCCCCGTGCCTAATTTTTCCCTGCTTGTACTTGGCCCAAACGTATTCTTGGCTCCTCCGTTGTTCGGCCCTCTACTGTACGACACACTACGTGTTTTACGCTGTACTGCTTAACCACCTTGGGTAACCCTTGGGCCACACGTTCCCCTTGGCCCTGTGTGCACTTGGGGCCTGCAAATCACTTGGCCCTATCTTCACTCGCACTTCACATACTACGGTTGCGCCCCTCACCGGGTTATTGTACCTACGTGTTATGCAAACTACTAGATCACCTGAGTAGCCTTGGGCCCTGCGTTGACCTCCACCGTCGCCTTCCTTGGGTTGTACGTTGCAACCAATTTTATACATCCTACTTGACTTGGGTTCTACGTTGTCTTTGGTCCTCCTGTGTCTTTACCCCCCCTGTCTATTCTTTGGGCCTGCTTGTCCTTGGCTCATATGTACTATTTGCTCCTCCGTTGCGTTGGGCCCTTCTCTTGTATGTCACACTGCGGGTTTCCTGCTGTACTGCGCAACCAAACTATGGTAATTTTTGCCCCTGTGGTCATTTGGGCCCTACGTATCCTTTGGCTCTTCCGCATGTACTTGGGTGTACATTTGTCATTGACTTTGGCACTCCAAATTTATTGGGCCTGCATATACTTGCGCCCTACAATGCCTTTGTCCCACGTTCCTTTGGGCCCTATGTTGACTCCAGTCCCACATTAATTGCATCACCTGTGTATTCTTGGGCCCTACGTTGACTTCAACCTTGTGATTATTTGTGCCCTACATTGAATTCAACCCTGTGCTTGCTTGGGCCCTACGTTGTCCTTGGTCGTATAACTCCTGACCCCATCCTGTGTATCCTTTGGTCCTGCTTGACCTTGCCCCCTACGGACCATTGGCTTCTCCTGGCTCTTTGCCCCTCCTTTTTTACAAATGCCACCTGAAAATGTGAGACTATGCTTTATATTTGATCAGACTCAGTGTCAGAAGGGCACTGTGCTTTACATCAGGAATTCCTTTGTCATGGATAGCTCCTCGCCAGAGAATTTTAGGGTGCATTTTGGTCTTCCCTCCAAAACCTGAAGTAGACGACTTACCTAAGCATGCAGGCAAACAATTATGTCAGACAGAATTATTGAGAGAGAACAAACTCTACAAAAGCACATGATAAAAGCTGGTGAACAGTTGTTTAGTAATCTAGGAGATGAGTTCTCTGTCTATATTGGACATCAGTGATAGAAGACTTGAAGACAATAGATCCCATGTAGTGAAAGTTAAATGACTACATAGTGAGATAAGTGAAGACTGAAGAGATCATGTCATAAGGGAAAGCTAAGGCTGTATACAAAGCACAGAAGGCAAAGATGTGATG